TACATCTGTGACTTTTTTTTCCCCTCTTTGCTCCTTCCTTCCTTCCTTCCCTCCTTCCTTCCATCATTCCTTCCTTCCTTCTTTCTTTTCTCTTTCTTTTTCTTTTTTTGTGTGGGTACTGAAGCTTGAATGCAAAGCTATGGTGTTCTCCCTTAGCTTTGTCCTGCAAAAGGTACAGGTTCCTCATTTACAAAACAGGAACACCAATAATACCCTGTGCATGGGGTGTTGTGTGAAAACCAGCCAAAGCATGAGGTGAAGTAGGACACCAGAAGTGTTGACTTTTTTCTTTTCCATGTCCAGTACTGGCCCTTGAACTCAGAGTCTCTCTGAGACTTTTTCCACTCAGGGTTGGTGCTCTACCACATGAGCTATAACTCCACTTTTCTCTAGTGTTTAATTGGAGAGTCTCACAGACTTTTCCTGCCCTGACTGGCTTCAAAACTCAATCCTCAGATCTCAGCTTCCTGAGTGCCCAGCCAAAAGTTGAGCCTTTCAATGGACACAAGGAAGGCTGGAACTGTCCCTGGCCTGGTGGGTGTGGATGTTTACCATCAGTAACTGCAGTAGAACAATGTCAAGTCATGTGGGACCCAGTGAGTCACTGGGAAGCATTGCTTCCTCCAGCAGATGGCTAGCAATCCTAACCAGATTCCCACTGTGTTACCTGGTGGTTGGCAAAACCTGGTGGCGTGATAACACTCATTTACCTACAAATATAATTTGCCCATTATTTCCACCAATACTATCCTCATAAAACTTAAGGTCAGATAGAGGGTGTGGTTCTTACACCCACTCTCCAGTCCTCAATCGATGTTCTCTTTAAACGATGGCTCAGTGGCTTAGCATTCACAAGGCACTGAGTTCAATCCTCAGGTCCCTTCCTTCCTCCCTTCCCACCTCCCCCAGCTAAAAAGGCAGAGAAGTCTAAATGAACTAAGATCATACAGATGGCTAAGCTAGATGTGGGGTTGAGATCAAGATTTCTTGACTTAATTCTAGCAAAATTCTTATTTTTCCAAAAGCATTTGTTAATTGAAGTACCCTCACTAACAAAATCATTTTCTAAACAAAGCTTGAACATGCAGTTTTTCCTTTTTTTTTTTTTTGTGGTGGGACTGGAACTCAGGGCCTTGCACATGCTAGGCAAAGACTCTACCACTAAGACATATCCCCAGTCCAAATTTTCTTCTTTGTGTTAAATTACAGATTGACAGTTATACCAGTTTACATTTCCTAGAATAAACTCAGGTCATGATGTATTATTATTTTATATACTGCTGGATTCAATTTGCTAATTTTTTTAAAAAAAGGATCCTGAGTTAGCTATCACTCCTATACACCAACTGCCAGAGACAATAACTTAGGAAGAGGAAAGGTTTATTTGGCACAGTGATGGAGGTTTCATGATCTGTTGGCCACACCACGTTGGGCCTGTGGTAAGGAAGGTGTAGCAAAGCAAACCCCCTGCTCACATCAGCCAGGGAACAGGGACAGAAAGGAAGGAGTGGGGGAGGGGTGGTCCCACATTCCACAACCTCCTTCTGGGGCATACCCATCCCACGGCCTAAGAACATCCCTGTAGGCACTGCCCATCAAAGGTTCCATCACCTCTCAATAGCACCACATTAAAATGTGAACCACATTTTTAACACAGGGCCTTGGGGCATGCAGTTTCCAAACTCAGCTGCTGATTACATCTGTGGTCATGAGGGATGGTGGTCTGTAATTTCCTGTTTGCCAGTGTGTGTGTGTGTGTGTGTGTGTGTGTGTGTGTGTGTGTGTGTGTCTGTGTCTGTGTCTGTGTGCTGGTCTTGGGGTTTGAACTCAAGGCCACCTGTGCTTGTTCAGCTTTTTCACTCAAGGCTGGCAGTCTACCGCTTGAGCCACACCTCCACTTATTTTTATTTATTTACTGGCCATTCAGGGCCTGGGCATTGTCCCTGAACTCTTTTTGCTCAAGACTAGTACTCTACCACTTTGAGCCACAGATCCACTTCCCGTTTTCTGGTGGTTAATTGAAGATGTCTCTTGGAATTTCCTGCCCCAGCTAACTTTGGACGCGATCCTCCGTTCTCAGCCTCTTAAGTAGTTAGGATTACAGGTGTAAGCACCAACCCAGAAAACCACTCTGACACATAGTCATGTAGGAGATAGAAGTGTTTAATGTCAGCTAGAGGTTGACAGGCTATCTCTCTTGGAATAGAGAATAGTAAACTGCTCTCATAGCCTTAAAAGGTAGATATAGTATCAGGAGTCTGAGGGTAGAAGGGGCTGGGGCAGGAAATCTTTGTGGTCACAGCTGGACACTGGAGATATCCGACAGCCAGGGCAGGACATTCTATAGCTGGCTTGAAGCCAGGGAACACATCCCATCACAGATAATATATTCTATATCTAGCATGTAGCAAAAGCAATATTATCTTACAGCTGTCATGTAGCAGGGGGGAAACATCTTGGAGCAGAGACAATACATTCTATAGCTGGCACCTTGCAATCATACACTAGAACCAGCATGAGATTGAGACTAGTATCCGGACTCCATTGCTGATGCAGCCAGGCAGTGGGAACAGACAGACAACTATGGCCAGCCTGGCCTGCAAAGGACCCAGGGTGAGGGCTGTCAACCCACAGTGGGGGTGAATAAGCTTACAACAGGTGTGAGCCACCAGTGCCCAGCTTAGGTCTTCTTACATTTCAACCAGGTTTTTTTATTTGCAGCATGTAATTTTTGCACACACACACACACACACACACACACACACATACATACATACATACATACATACACATAGCCCTGCCCAGCCTGAAACTCACTAAGTGGCCTGGGATGACATCTTCCTGCTGCCACCTTTCTGAGTGCTGGAAATTCAAGTGTGAACTACCACACTTGGCTTTATTCCTAGCATGCATTTTTTTATCTTATAATAAATAAAGCGTTGTTCTTGACCTTTTTTAGATTGTTCTCTGCTACTATGCAATTAATATTTATAATTGTCTAGTGTATACCAATTGTACAAAATAGTGATATTTACTTTCTTTATTTTGGGGTGGGGGTGGGGAGCTGGTAATGGGGTTTGAATTCAGGGCCTCACCCTCTTAGCTTTATTTACTCAAAGCTGACACTCTACCACTTTTTGCTGGTTAATTGGAGTTGACTTTGAACTATGATCCTCAGGTCTGCCTTGAGTAGCTAGGATTACAGTTGTGAGCCACCAGTGCTTTGGTAAGTAACTCTTATTTTACTTAGTAATGGCCCCAAAGTGCAAGACCCTTGGTGCTGGCAATTCACACATGCCAAGAGCCACGAAGTGTTTCCCTTAAGTAAAAGAGAGAAAAAAATACATTTATACAAGGTTCAAGCACCCACTGGTAAGAGGGGGCTACTGTAATTAACATACCACCAGTGTCCAGGACAAGGGCAACAGAGAAGAGACCAACTACATCAATGAGATAAGAATCTCCACAGAGGGGCTGGGAAGGTGGCTCAGTAGTTGAGTACTTGCCTTGCATGCATTAGGCCCTGGGTTCAATTCCTCAGTACCACATAAGTAGAAAAAGCCAGAAGTGGTGCCATGGCTTATGTGGTGGAGCACTAGCCTTGAGCTGAAGAGCTGAGGGACGGTGTCCAGGCCCAGAGTTCAGGCCCACAACTGGCAAAAAAAAAAAAAGGAATCTCACAGAAAGGGAAAAAATATCAAAATGGGCATGACAAAGCTGAGTGAAACCTGAAAGCACACCTTGAAGGCAATGCTTTTGAGTCAGCATTGACTAGTTTTCCAAGCTCTACAAATGTTTCACCCAGAACCCACAGCCAGAGTGAGACCCCCATCATCAGGCCTGATCTCACTTGTCATAATAGTTCTCATTATGAATCAACAAATACACAGCTATGTTATGCACATTAAAACTAAAGAGCAGGGCTGGGAAGGTGGCTCAGTGGTAGAGCGCTTGCCTTGCATGCATGAGGCCCCGGGTTCGATTCCTCAGCACCACATAAGCAGAAAAAAAAACAAAACTGGAAGTGGCGCTGTGGCTCAAGTGGTAGAGTGCTAGCCTTGAGCTGAAGAGCTGACCAGGCCGAGTTCAAACCCACGACCAACCAAAAAAAAAAAAAAAAACTAAAGAGCACTGACTGGGAGTGTGGCTTAGTGGTAGAGTGCTTACCTAGCATGCATGAAGCTCTGGGTTTGATCCCTCAGTACCACATAAACAGAAAAATCCCGAAGTGATACTAAGGCTCAAGTGGTAGAGCACTAGCTTTGAGCAGAGATGGGAAAAACAAAAAACAAAAAACTAGATAGCATCTTCATTGGTCCAGTGGCTCCCACATCTGGCTAACTCTATTGGATGAGGCTCTGATATGCTAGACTCTTTTGATCAAAACAAGCCTTCTTGTCATAAAAATCATAAGGAACCTGGATGGCAGAGGTGGCTGATGTCTGTATCCCTAACTACTTAGGAGGTTGAGATCAGGAGGAGCATAGTTTGAGGCATGCTGGGGCAAAATGTTCATGATAATCCCTTTCTCAACAAGAGCAGGGAATGCCTGTCATCCCAGCTAAGACAGGAAGCCTAAAATAAGCAGAATGAGACCCAGGCCTGACTCAGCAGGAATCAAGACCTTACACCAAATAGTAGCAGCATAGCTGGGCACTAATGGTGCAGGAGGATTGTGGTTGGAAGCCAGTCTGGGCAAGAAAGTCTATGAGACATTTAAAAGCCTGAAGTGGAGGTGTGACTCAAGAGGTAGAGTGCCAGCCTTGTGCAAATAGGTAAGAGAAAGCCCTGAGTTCAACCCAGTTACTGGCACAGTTGCAAAAAAAATAACCAGTGTGAAAAATGCCTGGTGTTATATAACTCAGTGGTACACAGCCTGCCTATCAGTGTGAAGATATGAATTCAAATCCCAGTACTGCCCCTCCCCCCCAAAACCATTATAAACCAAGACAATAATTTGCAACACTCAACTATACACGAAGACTCAGTATACATATTGGTTTTCATATGATTTTATTTAAAAATCTGCAGAGGTGAAGGGATCTGCTCTTTGTTAAAAGAATGCTTTTTTTTCACAGTATATATTGAGCCATTTTAGTTTTGTATTGATAGTTACAGAAAATCAAGTTTCTGTTTATGATCCTCCCTCCACCACACTGGGCCGGGGCTTGGCATCTTGCGGCAAGCTACCATCTTCCCCGGGCCAAGGCTCCTGGCAAACCCTCTCACCCTGGTAGAACACCCACAGAAGCTCTTTGGGGGCTCTGCCCTGAGAATCCTTAATTGTAAAGGTGGAAAAAACCTGAAAAGGATCCTTAACACCTGTAACAAACCCAACTATCTGTGAATGCTTGAGCGTTTCAAGTTTGAATTACTTGAAATTTATGAGTTATTCCACATGTAGTGGAATATATGCTTTTACATGGTTAAAAAATTAGGTGAAGTATCATACCTCAATAGTTCCAAATGTTACTTAATAAAATGTATTGAAAGAAGATATGCAGCACGGTCTTTTCATCCCTGTTACTTCTCCTGACGGTTGCTACTTGATGGTCAAAAAAAAAAAACGAGAAAGAAACCAAGCAAATTGGTATTTGACAATGCCTGCAAGGAATGTACAATTTAAATTATGTTAACTGAAATTAACCTGGAAAAGAAAAAGGTCTACAAGCCATATTATTTTAAAAGATGAGGTAGGTTTTTTTTTTCCCCTTAGGCTGTACAATGAAAATAACAAAAAAAAAATCCATATAACTTTCAAACCCACTTTAAAAAAAAAAGTTGAGGCTGCAGTCACTTTTACAAGCAATACATTGACGGCCTTGATGAAGACGCCTCGCTCAGGCAAGCTCTGTCCTTGTGATGTTAGCTGATTCAACAATCAATCTTGGATCGATCAACTCTCTCCAAAACACAGTGATCTGAGGAAATACATAAAATATTCAGTTTAAGCACTTCATCTTGAGGTTATATAAGTTTTAGTAGGTTAGCTAAGTGAATTTCTGTTTATGCAGAACTGAAATCTAGTAAATTAATTTCAACAGGACACAAAAACTCATTCACCTAGAATGTGGTGAAATTTTGTATTACATATTTCCTCCTCTGATTTAGAAGGGCTGTGGGGACGCTGGAAAATTAAACAATGTGTCAGGGAAATATGCTCTGTGCACAAGTGGCCTGCGAACTTCTTAGGGGCTATTTGTGGCCCACTTGAGTGTCACTGATACGGTTCTGTGCAGCTCTGTAGTTCTTACCCTGTGCTGCCTAAAAATATGAACTATTTTACAAGAAACCTGTAAGCTTGGCCATGAGCAACGACAGCCATCTAGTGCAAAAAAGGAGCATTACAGGCCTCTTGTTTGTTCATTTGCTAGGACATAGAGAAAGCCTCCACGATTTAATTTCCCAATGCAGTTTCTAGGAATACATTTCAAAAGGGCCAGGTTAGTGGACTTCAAAAACAAAAACAAAAAGCACAATGCAGGAAACTGGACCAAACCTGCTGATCTTACCACAGACCATGAAACTGTTTTTGGACTCTATCCTTACGAGTGTCATCCATTCTTTTCTTTTTTTTGCCAGTCTTAGGGCTTGAACTCAGGGCCTGGGCACTGTCCCCAAGCTTCTTTTGCTCAAGGCTAGAACTCTATCACTTGAGTCACAGTGCTACTTCTGACTTTTTCTGTTTATGTGGTACTGAGGAATCGAACCCAGAGTTTCATGCATGCTAGGCAAGCATTCTACTACTAAGCCACATTCCTAGCCTTCATCCATTCTTCTTTTAAATGAAAAAAATATTTTTTTACTGTTATTAATTTTTTATAAAGCAAAGGAAAGCAAAGTCTGGTGAGGAGTTTCTCCAAGTTAACATTTCAGACAAAAATGTGAATTTTCAATGCTTAAACTTACAGTCTAATACCCATAATATTCCTTATTTTGGTGCCAGTCTTGGGCTTCTTTTTCTCAAGGCTAGTGCTCTACTACTTGAGCCATAGCTCTACTTCTGTTTTGTTGTTGTTGTTGTTTTAGTTCATTGTAGATAAAGAATCCCATGGACTTTCCTGCCTGGGCTGTCTTGGAAACTGTGATCCTCAGATTGCAGCCTTCTGAGTAGCTAGGATTACAGGTGAGCCATGGGCATTTGGCTCACTTGGCTCTTTTGCTCAAGGTTGGCACTCTACTGTTTGAGCCACACCTCCATTTCCAGCTTTTTGTTGGTTAATTGGCAAAAGAGTCTTGCGGAATTATCTGCTTGGTCTGGCTTTGAACATCAATCTCAGCCTCCTAAATAGCTTGCATTATAGGCGTGAGCTACCAGTACCTGGCCATTTCTGGTTTTTATATAGGCAGTAGGTCGGGTTTTTGTTTTGTTTTGTTCTGTTTTTGCCATTTATGGGGTTTGAACTTTGGGCCTGGGCACTGTCCCTGGGCTTCTTTTGCTCAAAGCTAGCACTCTACCACTTAAGCCACAGTGCCACTACCGGCCTTTTCTGGTTATGTGGTACTGAGGAATCAAACCCAGGGCTTCATGCGTGCTAGGCAAGCACTCTACCACTAAGCCACTTTCCCAGCCCCTCTAGGAAACATTGATGTCATTTTCCAGAGCCTGGGTCATCAAACAAAAGAGAATGTCTGCCTAAGCAATAAAGAAAAAAGAATCGTGCCTACCCTTCTCTCCTGTGTCACTGCATACTCCACTACCTCAGTTCCGTTCTCATTGTGATAAACCAAATCAAACTTCCCAGGTTCTTTCAAGGCTGAAACCAGAGATTAGGCAAGAAAGACAGTAAGTCATTTGTTGTAGTCAAAATGTTCCTTTGCAGGGAATTGTATCAACTGGGGTATGCTGTTACAGGAGACGCTTAGCAACCCATACTAGCCACAGGGGGCTCCCTGGCATTTATCAGTGAAATCTCTCCTTCATCAGAAAGAAATGAGCTTGATGAAGGGTCACTAGTAATTCCACAGTACCATGTCACCTCACAAGAAAAATCTCAAAAGATAATGGGTGTTTCAAAAAGAGAAAGTGAACTGGATGCCAGTGGCTCACACCTGTAATCCTAGCTACTCAGGAGGCTAAGATCTGACGATCGCAGTAAAGCCAGCCCGGGCAGGAAGGTCCATAAGACTCTTATCTCTAATTAACCCACCAGAAAACCAGAAGTGGTGCTATGGCTCAAGTGGTAGAGTGCTCCCTTTGAGCTGAAGAGCTGAGGGACAGTGCCCAGGCTGAGTTCAAGCCACACAACTGACACAAAAAAAAAAAGCAAATGATCTGAAAAAAACAACCCTAACCTCAGAAATCACGCATGCCTATTACTTTAGAAATACAGCCAGGGTTCAGCTTTGGGATTGGAAAAATGACCATGCAAGCTGAAACCATGCAAACTTTTTTTTGTACCACTTGAGCCAGACCTCCAGCCTGTGCAAGCAATGTTTAACAATCAATGGGAAAAAATATGATTGTTGGAAAATCATTCAAATAAAATAAAATAAAAACCGTATTGTAGAGGTAAATGGAAAAGTAGTAAAACCATTATGTAATACAAGTAAGTTTTTAACATTAGAAACAAAATGTTTTGTTTCTTTGTAAGAAATGTATCAAAGATGATCAGAACAATGGTTGGTGCCTTCTTGTCTTGTAACTTATAGTAGAGAGGAGGTGTCTTTCTATATTCCACAGAATTACCAGACTCCTTTCCAAGTATGGATTGGCTTTCAGAATTTTATCCTTGGAGCAATCTCAAGAAACAGGCTGAACATTCATTTTTACTTTGAAAACTGGTGAAGTTTTTGCTGGTGCCACTTCTGAAAGTTTCTTTTCTTTTTTTTTCTTTCTTTCTTCTTCTTCTTCTTCTTTTTTTTTTTTTTGCCAGGGCCTGGGCATTCTCCCTGAGCTTCTTTTTGCTCAAGGCTAGCACTCTACCACTTGAGCCACAGCACCACTTCCAGTTTTCTGGTGGTTAACTGGAGATAAGAGTCTCATGGACTTTCCTGCTTGTTCTGGCTTTGAACCATGATCCTCAGATCACAGCCTCCTGAGTAGCTAGGATTACAGGCGTGGGCCAAGGGTACCCGCCCGGCACTAGGTACTTACTGTTTATAGGTACTGAGTAACTAGCTTCATGCATGCTAGGCAAGCACTCTACCACTAAACCACATTCCCAACCCCAGTTTTCATCACCAAGTTCCCTGGTTTGGGTGGTGCAGGGGCTGAAGCCAAGAGTATGGACATTCTAGGCAAGCAAGTGCTCTGGTACTGCGCGACATCACCAACCACCAACTTCCTCAGCTCCATCAGGGAGTGCACCTAAACAGCAGCATCAACATTGCCACAGTGGCTGGCAATTTTCTCTACAATTCACTTAAATCCCAAGTGGATGGGACTGTCAACATTAGCGCTGTTTTCATCTTGTTTATATCTTGGCTGGATAATCCCCTATTTTAGTTACTCCTTCCTTCTTCGGTTTCTTTCGTTCTTTCATTTCTTTTTCTTTTCTTTTTTTTTTTTTTGGGGGGGGTGTCTCGTCATGGGCGTGAACTCTGTGCCTGGGCGCTGTCCCTCAGCTCTTCACATCAAGGCTAACGCTCTACCACTTGAGCCACAGCACCACTTCTAGTTTTCTGAGTGGTTTATTGGAGATAAGAGTCTCATGGTCTTTCCTGCCAGGGCTGGCTTTGAACCATGATCCTCAGACCTCAGCCTCCTGAGTAGCTAGGATTGTAGGAATGAGCCACCGACGCCCAGCTGCAACTATTTTTGGGGGCGGGGGTTTGGGGGTCTGGTCGTGGGGCCTGAACTCTGTGCCTGGGCGCTGTCCCTCAGCTCTTCAGCTCAAGGCTAGTGCTCTACCACTTGAGCCACAGCGCCACTTCCAGCTTTTTTTTTCTGCTTATGTGGTGCTGAGGAATCGAACCCAGGGCCTCATGCATGCAAGGCAAGCGCTCTACCACTGAGCCACCTTCCCAGCCCTCTTTTCCTTTCCTTTCTTTCCTTCCTGTTCTTTATCCCTCCCTCCTTTCTTTCTTTTTCTTTTTTTGTTGTTCCAATACTGGGGTTTGAACTCAAGAGCTTAAGGGTTGTCTCTTAGCTTTTTCCACTCAGGTCATGTTCTACCACTTGAGTTACTCTTTTACTTCCAGCTTTTTGCCCCTTAATTAAAGGTAAGTCACATGAACTTTCCTGCCCGGGCTGGCTTAGAACCACAATGATCAGATCTCAGCCTAGGATGACAGGCATGTGACACTGATGCCCAGCAAGTCTGGGTAGTTTCAAGTGATGCAAGAATGCAAAACTTCCCCCCAAATTAATATCCCAATCAATGAATGAGCAAAGGAGCTAGAGAGAGACGTCTCAGAATAAGAAATACAAATGGCCATGAGAAGCTAGGTGCTGGTGAGTCACACCTATAATCCTAGCTACTTAGGAGGCTAAGCTTTGAGGATCATGGTTAAAAGCCAGCTTGAGCATGAGAGTCCATGAGACTCTTATCTCCAATTAACCACCAGAAAACGAAGTGGGGTTGTGGCTCAAAGTGGTGGAGTACTAGCCTTGAACTCAGGGATAGTGCCAGGCCCTGAATTCAAAGCCCCATGACCAACACTAACAACAACAAAAAAAGAACGGCCATGAGGAAATGCTCAACACGGCTGAGTAAATGTAGTCATTATATTCAAAATACACTATGTGAAACAAATGAACTATGTAATATGAGGTGGGAAGGGGAGAAAACAAAGGGGTGATACTGACCCAGAAGCATTGTACTCATAACCTGACTTATGGAATTGTAACCTCTTTGTACACCTACATCATCATCATCATCATCATCATCATCAAAAAAAATGCAAAACTTTGCAAGGCAGCCTAAGTGGAGAATCCTCCTACATATATTTACTGAATCCCTCCCAATCTTTTGTCTCCCCCACACATAATTTAATCGCATCTTTCAGTCATGTTACTGAGTCAGCATGGAACTTAGATTTGCTAGAAATGATTCTTTGCCATCAACGTTTACCAAGTCTTCTATGAAAGTACATAATTACCGCAATAAGAACACTTAGCCCAACTGTTCTGAGAACCAATCCAGCATCTCTAAGACACACAATCCAAGGCGCAGCGACATGGCTGCGCTCCCCCAGTGTGCTTCCACAGAGTTACAAGCATCAGAGAGGCCAGTGAAGGGACTCACTGGACATAAAGACTATTTGGAAACCACTGTAAATATTCACAGCTTAAAAGTTTTCAAATCATTTCTTCTTTTCTTTCTTTTTTGCCAGTCCTGGGGCTTGAACTCAGGGTCTGCACACTGTCCTTGAGCTTCTTTTGCTCAAGGCTAACACTCTACCACCTGAGCCACAACACCACTTCCAGCTTTTTCTGTTATGTGGTACTGAGGAATCGAACCCAGGGCTTCATGCATGCTAGCCAAGCACTTTACCACTAAGCCACATTCCCAGCCCTTAAAATTCATTTCTTAAAGACTCACCAGGTAAGGATGAGAGAATTTCTATATCTACTTGCTGGGTCTCTGAATTGTGGCTCAATATTTTTCCTTCCTTTCAAAAAGAAAAGTTCAAGTCAAAAAAATCAACAGGTGAGTATACTAAAAACCATACAATTTTTTTGTGTGGTTGTTGGTTGTGGAACTTGAACCCAGGGTCTAGGCACTATTCCTGATCTCTTTTGCTCAAGGCTAGCACTCTACCACTTTGAGCTACAGCTCCATTTTTGGTTTTTGGGTTTTTGTCTGAGCGGTTAATTGGAGATAAGAAAGAGTCTCATGGGGACTTTTCTTCCCAAGCTGGCTTCAAACCATGAACCTCAGATCTCAGCCTCCTGAGTAGCTAGGAATACAGGTGTGAGCCACCAGCACCCAGCTTCAATTGTAGACTTTAAAAGGCTAAATTGATATATACTTTAATCTCAATTCAAAAGGTTAAAAATAAATCAGCCTGGAGGGGAAATAAAAACAGTGAGCCCAGTACTGTGGCTCATGCTTGTAATCCTAGCTACTCAAGAGGCTGAGATCTGAGGCTCTCAGTTCGAATCCAGCTCAAGGAAGAAAGGCTATGAGGCTATGAGATTTTTACCTCCAATTAACCACCAAAAAGTGGGAAGTGAAGCTGTGCTTCAAGCAGTAGAGCTCTAGCCTGGAGCAAAAAAGCTCAGGGACAGTATCCAGGCCCTGAGTTCAAACCATAGGTCCAACACACACACACACACACACTCTCTCTCTCTCTCTCTGAATTTTTTTATTCACTTCTAATTGTTTAGTTATTTTGAGGCAAGGCTGGCCTGTTGGCCCTGAACTCACAATTCCCTTGCCTCAGCCTCCTGGATAGCTGGGATTACAGGCACACATCATGGTGCATGACAACAGAGGCTTTTAAAAAGTAGATTTTAATGGGAGTCAGGATCCCGGGAGACTTCATTCTCTGACCACAGAATTGACTGTTGAACTTCCCAGGAAAGATCTGTATACATCTTTCCTTCCAGTACAATTATTAACACACACACCCAATCACAAATATCCTAACTTAGTAAATTATAATGGTTGCTTTATATATAGGAGAAACTAAGTGGCCAAGGAGATTAAAAAATCACAGATTACCAATACAAAGAACCAAACCACCAGATCCCTTCATAAACTGATTCTGGCTAAGGGCTACTATACAACTTCACAGTAAAGATTAAAAAGTGAACATTTTGATACTGTGTTCATGTTCTATTTTATGATATTTACTTTAAGAATGTCTGTATTAGCTATATATATATATATATATAATATATATATGAGTATTATTAAAGATATCCTAGTGTTTATTTGAGACAAGGTGTCACTACTTACCCCAAGGTGCCCTCAGACTCAAGATCCTCTTGCTCCGTCTTTCTGAGTCCTAAAACTATAGGCATAAGCTACCATGCCTGTAGTTTTACTGTCTACTGACAACTTAATCTTTTTTTTTATTTCTTTTTAGAGATGCGTGTCTCATTATGTTGCTGAGGCTGTGAGCATCTGGACTCAAGTGATCTTCCTGCCTCAGCCTCCTGAATATCCAGGATGACAAGCACTTGTAACCATACCTAGTCAACCAAAATTTGTTGTTGTTGCCAGTCCTGGGGCTTGAACTCAGGGTCTGCGCACTGTCCCTGAGCTTCTTTTGCTCAAGGCTAGCACTCTAACACTTGAGTCACAACACCACGTCCAGCTTTTTCTGCGTATGCGGTACTGAGGAATTGAACCCAGGGCTTCATGCATGCTAGGCAAGCACTCTACCACAAAGCCACATTCCCAGCCCAAACCGAATTATTTTTAAACATGCAACCTTACCTTGTAGTCAGACACATCAGGAGTGTAGTCAGGTGTTAATTCCAAAAGCTAAAAAAGAAGAAAGAAAAAATTCCTACAAATATACAAACCCTCTTAAGACTGTCACCTGCCCACGGCCCCTCCCTCTTCCATCCAAGAAATCATACAAAAGTGTCCCTACCCCAAGGACACAGCAACACTGGAGATCCAGGGAGAAGGGTGTTTATAAACATGTTTATAAACGCATGACACACTCAGGAAGTCCACTTGGAAAAAGGAGCTAAGCTTTTCTATGTTGGAATTCTTGTGGTTCTAAAACATACCTTAAGGGGGCTGGGAAGGTGGATCAGTAGTAGAGTCCTTGCCTTGCATGCATGAGGCCCAGAGTTCGATTCCTCAGCAGCACCACATAAGCAGAAAAAGCCAGAAGTGGTGCTGTGGCTCAGTAGAGCGCTAGCCTTGAGCTGAAGAGCTGAGGGACAGTGCCCAGGCCAAGTTCAGGCCCCATGACTGACAAAAAAGAAAAAGAAAAAAAGAAAACATACCTTAAATGCAATCTTTTCTCCAACCCGAGGGGCAGCTGCTAACAGTGGTAACAGACTATAGTCCTTCTTGTGTATCTCTACTGGATTCTGAAAAACAGCATTAGCCATGGGGACTTTGTTACTGGTGAGAAAATGGAAGCCACGCCACAGAGTAGGGAGTCACTCCATGGGGGAAAAGCGGGAAGAGCCATCCCAATAAACCCTAGTTACCTGGATAATGGTAGATGAGTTTGAGACAACCTCACTTAATTGCTGTTGCTTCTGATACTCGGCGCTTCTATGCAGGACACAGGGAACTACATTTCCTCGTCCTCGACCTCTCCCCTTCAGGCCCCGGCCCCTCACTCCCTTCCAAGGTTCCCCTCGTCCCCATCCTCTTCCCAAATTGCCAGAGACAGATACACCGGGAAAAGGGCCAGGAGTCTGTTTGATGCCATTTGAGTCACCAGGTTTCCATCCCATGGCATTTGGAGCCTGTGATGACGGCCCTGGGCCTGGACAACCTCGCCCTGCAAAGAGGCCCGCTGTCTTTAAGGAGCCAGAAGCACACTCCAGGGAGTTCTTGAGCATGACAGGCTGGTCATCGGATTCTGTACTGGAGTCTGAACTAGAAGATGTGGCTCTGGCAGCATTGATCTTGCTGGTGGGCAGGTTAAAGGCGGTTTTGGCTGCCACTTTGTTCATAGCTGGATTTTTGGTAGCTGGTCCCTCCTTTGATAACTCAACTGACAGTTTGTCTAAGGAGTTCCCATTGCTGAACACATCACTGGAGGACTCCTGGCTAGAATCTGATTCCGAAGCGGTCTCGGGACCTTTTGGTTCTGTGATAGCTCCATCTTGACTTCTGATTTTAGCCAGGCTGGCAGAACTTTTTGGGGAATTGCTGTTGCAGGTGGACCGCTCTTTTCCTGAAGATTTGGGGTTCCTGATCTGTTTCTTATATTCACACTTCTCCTTTTTCTTTGGTGATATTCTTTTGGTCTCCTCTTCCTGTTCACCCATGGTGCCACATGGTGCTTTGCTTCTTCTCTTGTTCTTTTTCTTCACAGTCCCATCTGTGCCAGCTTTTGGCTCTAGATCCAAGGCTTTCTCCTGATTGCTGTTGCTCTTTCGCCTCTTCCAGTGCTTCTTTGAATAACTGTACCCAAGTTCATTTTCTTCATCCTCTACCAATTTTAAAGTCCGCTTCTTTGCTTTTCTAGGTGATGAGTGCAAATCACCCCCATTCCTGACTACTACAGGATCCTCAAGAATTTCTCTCTCTTCTAACTTAACTCTGTCGAGAGAATAAGAGAAAACTGGAGTGAGCAATTCAGAGGAATGACTCCAGGATGCAGTTACATCCTGAGAAGATGGCAAACTCACTACTGCCATTCAATGAAAACTTCCACAATGCTTAAGGACAAAAGACTTTTTGACCTTCATTCAATAGCCTACATTCAACTTCCATACGGCTAGTCTTACCTATTATCTAGGTCCCAGAATTTATCTATACATATTCTCTAAGCTAAATGTCACCACAAATTAGGTAGTTTTTTTCTTTTCCTTCCTTCCTTCCTTCTTTCCTTCCTTCCTTCCTTCTTTCCTTTTTCCGTTCTTCCTTTTCTTTTTTTGTGCCAGTCCTAGGGCTTGACCTCAGGACCTGGGCATTGTCCTTGACCTTCTTTTACTCAAGGCAAGCAATCTACCATTTGAGCCACAGCTTCACTTCCAACTATTTTTGGTAGTTTAGTGGAGATGTCTCACAGACTTTCCTGTCCAGGCTGGCTTCAAATCACAATTCTCAGATCTCAGCCTCTTGAGTAGCTAAGATTACAGGTATGAACTATGGGCGTCCAGCTCACACGAATAGTTTGGCCAACATAGCTAATAGCTAATAAGCAGCAGAAACACAACTCAAACAGCAGTTTGGCCAGCTACAAGACTCAAAATCTTTCCCTTTACTTGTAAGTCCTCCAATCCAAAAGGTGTTATCTTAGCCAGGCCCAGTGGCTCACAGCTGTAATCCTAGCCACTTAAAAGGCTGAGATCTGAGAATCTCAATTCAAAGCCAGCCTTGGGCAGACAAATCCAGTAACCCATTACTGATGTGTATGCACATGCATGTGTGTACACAAGTTGTAAGACTTTCTGCTTAGTCTTAGCAGTTTACTAAATCACTAGAATACATGTCCTACCATTTCTGGAGCTGGCAATGGTGTCCCCCCTCCCTTTTTTGTGCAGATTCAGGGGCTTGAGCTCTTGCTTTTTTCACACAAGGCTGTTGGGTTTGGTGGTTAATTGGAAACAACAGTCTCACAGACTTTATTGCCTTGGCTGGATTCAAACCACAATCCTCAGATCTCAGCCTTCTGAGTAGTCAGAATTACAGGTGTGAGACAACAGCACCCAGCCTCAGTAACATTTTGGGTTTGGGTTTTTTTGTGGGTTTTTTTTTTTTTTTTGACAGTCATGGGGCTTGAACTCAGGGCATGGGTGCTGTCTGAGCTCTTTGGCTTGAGCCACCAAGCCACTTGTGATTTTCTGGTGGTTAACTGGAGATAAGAGTCTCACCAAGCAGGGCGCTGGTAGCTCACACCTATCTATAATCCTAGCTACTCAGGTGGCTGAGATCTGAGGATCACGGTTCAAAGCTAGCCTGGGCAGGAAAGTCTGTAAAACTCTGATCGCCAATAGACCACCAGAAAACTGAAATGGCGCTGTGACTCAAATAGTAGAGTGCTAGCCTTGAGCTGAAGAGCTGAGGGACAGCACCCAGGCCTGGAGTTCAAGCCCCATGACCGACCAAAAAAAAAAAAAAAGTCTCACCAAAACTTTCTGCCTGGCTTCGAACTTCCATCCCCAGATCTCAGCCTCCTGAGTAGCTAAGATTACAGGTGTGAGCCACCAGAGCAAGGCTTCAGTAACATTTTTTTTTAATATTTCTTTCTTTTTTTTTTTTGCCAGCCCTGGGGCTTAAACTCAGGGCCTGGGCACTGTCCCTAAGCTTCTTTTGCTCAAGGCTAGTGCATTACCACTTGAGCCACAGAGCCACTTCCAGCTTTTACTGTGTATATGGTTCTGAGGAATCCAACCTAGGGCTTCATGTATGCACTCTACCACTCTACCACTAAGCCACATTCCCCGCCCTTTTTTAAAGATTTCTAAAAGCAATCTTTTTTCTTCTTTTTTTTTAATATTTTTTTATTGTAAAGATACTGTAGAGAGGGGTTACAATTACATGAGTAAGGTAATGAGTCCATTTCCTATTGAGCATTGTTACCCCTCCTTTGTTTTTCCCTTACTATCTCTTCCCTCCCCACCTCCCCAACTCCTCCCTCCCTCCCCCACCCCCAGTTGTACGTTTTCAACATAGTGTCTTGTATGTCCCCTTGTTACAATGGGTCAACCTGTATCCTTGTTTCAGCATTTTGTTATTTTCCTTCCCCTCCCCAAAATTAGAAAAATGTATATACCAGATGCAGGGCACCAGAATCAAATACAACAGGGGTTAAACCACAGGGGAAGAACATACAAAAGAAACAAAAAAAAATCACACAGTACATTAAAAACAACATAAAAGCAATCTTTCGTATGTGCAGGTACCAGGGATTTGAACTCATGGCTTTGACTCTCAGCTTTCTTGCTCACAATTGGTGCTCTGCCCATTGAGCCAGGCCTCCAGTTATGCATCTTAACTGGAGATAAGAATCGCATGGACTTTTCTGCCCGACTGGCTTCAGACCTCAGTCCTCCAGATCTCAGTCTCTTGAATAGTTAGGCTCACAGGAGTAAGCCACATTTCACATCATTACTATCTCCCATTCACAACGAAAACAAGACCCAAACAAATGTCTAAGCGAGCCCCAAACGCTTGTGTGGAAACAGGACGGTACTCCTCGGAGCCTCGGTGGACGTGGCAGAGTGACCTGCACGTGAGGAAAAACACGTAGCTGTCCTGTGCGATCAGCCCAGAGCAGCCCGGGGCCGGGCGGAGCCGCGCCCAGAACCGGACGCGAGGATTCGCGACGTCAAGCTCTTCCCCAGCAGCGCGAGCGCTGTTCCCAGTTCGCACCCCCTTGCACTTTCCTGGCACGCCTGTAATCCAAGCTACTCAGGAGGCTGAGGTCTGAGAATATCTCCAATGAACCATCAAATTGCCAGACTGGCGGCGTGGCTCAAGTGGTAGAGCGCCAGCCACGAGCTGACAAACACCAGCCCCAGGGAAGAGCACGCTTGGGGGCCCCTTCCTCGGCAAGACGGACCAGGGTCTCCCCGCTGCCGGTGCCATCTAGGAGCTGGGCTCCATCCGGGTCCCTACCGCTCCCGCGCCTCGGGCCCCGCCCCGGCCCCGCCCCGCCCAGGCCCAGGCCGCGCCGCGCGCACCTGAGGCTGTCGTTGTCCCTCACCAGGCGCGCGCTCTCGGTGGGCGGCAGCAGACCCCCATCCAAGTAGAGGCCCAGGAGCGCGCCGGAGCTGAAGCCGAAGCGGTGACGGACGAGGCTGATGAGATCGGTGACAACGCGACATCGGTTGAGGTCGACGAGGAGCCAGAAGACTGTGCAGTGCGGGGTGGCTGGCGGCGGATAATCAAATTGAAGCCGTAGCCTAACCGTCTCGGTCGCTGCCATCTTGCCAGTGCTTCACGGAAGCCGAGAGGAACCACACTGCTCCGGGGAAAGCGTGCTGGGTCGGCCCGCCCCGCCCCGCCCCCCGGGACCGCCCCCCCCGCCCCCGGGACCGCCCGCGACTGCCACCTACGGCTGGGAAGTGGGTACTGCAGGCTGCGTCCGCCGCCGCCGCCGCCGCCGCCGCCGCCGCCGTCCTTGGGCCGCTCAGGACAAGGCCTAGGCAGAAGAGTACAAATGAAGTATTAGGCCTTTCCTACCCAACACTAGAGGGGCCTTTTGAGGATCCTGGTTCAAAACCGGCCTGGGAAAAACAAATCAATAATCCGAGAGACTTTTATAGCCAATGAACTAGCAAAAAGCCCGAAGTAGAGCTGTGGTAGAACAACCAGCCTTGAGAAGGAGCCAAGAAGAGAGTAAGGCCCTGAGTTCAATCCCCAGTACTAGCACAAAGCAAAGAGTTTTAAAAATGGTAATAAAACTTCTGTCCTGCCTGAGGAGGTTGGAGATATCACTCCGTGGTAGAGTTCTTGCTTGGCATAAGTAGGGTGCTGGGTTCAATCCCCAGCACAGAAGCAAAAATCTCTTTCGCCTGGGAATAATATGGACTTAAAAAATAGATGAGATAGTCTTTATCTGCAAGTCAAATGTTAAGACATTTTAGGAGTGTTTTTGTTTTTAAGCTGGGCACCAGTGGTTAACATCTGTAATCCTAGCTACTCAGGAGGCTGAGATCTGAGGATCACAATTTGAAGCTAGACTAGGCAAGATAGTCCATGAGATTCTTATCTCTATTTAACCACACAAAAAAAGCCAGAAGTGGAGCAGTGGCTCAAGTGAGAGAGCACTAGCTTTGAGCCCAGGCCTGAGTTCAAGTACACACACACACACACACACTTTTTTTTCTGTGTATGGGGTACTGAGGAATTGAACCCAGGGCTTCATGCATGCTAGGCAAGCATTCCCACCAAGCCATATTCCCAGCTCCATACAAAGACTTTTAGCTGTAATTCCAGCACTGAAGCAGGAGCAGGAAGATTGCAAGTGTGAGGACAGCTTAGGCTACATAGGAAATTCTAAGCCAGCCTGGGTTACATAGTGAGATCCTGCCTCAAAAAAAAAAAAAAGACTTTTAATATCTACCATGGGACTACTTTGACATTCGTTCTACCTAGTTTCCCTTGCATTTTATTATTAAAAAATTCAATTTATTACAAAAGTTGTTCAAGCATAATTTTTTAAAAAAATTTATCCATTTACCTGCCACCAACATTCTACATTTTTCTTGGAGGTTAGTACAGGGTTTGAACTCAGGGCCTAATTCTTGGCTTATTTTACTCTAGTCTGACACTCTTGGCACTTGAGCCATAGCACCATGTCCCACTTTTTTGATGGGCATTGATTGTAAGCATTACTAATTTTTCTAACTAATAGCTTGGAACTATGATCTCAGCCTCCTGAGTAAGCTAGGCTTACAGGCATGAGCCATCAGTGCCCAGCAAGGGTGCAACTTTTATATACAGTCCTTTCCAAATGTTTCTTTCACAGGCTGATCCCCCTGATAGGGCTTTAGGGGATTTTACCCTGTACAGAACACAAGAGAACCTGGGTATGGACTCTTTATACATGTCACTTCTACCTCCAACCTTCCTATTGCTACTTCCTTCCCTCCTTTATCCACAACAGCTCATAGCGTCCAGCCCCTCACCGGCTCTCACTGGCAGTCAGGTCTGGACTGTCCTTCGTCTCTGTGGATTTATGCTTGGCAGTGGGAGGGAAGCAGGAAAAGGGAGTCAAGGTCATCTGTACTTGGTTGTTATTTGGGGATTTTGCTATTTACACTTTTGAGAAAAAGCATTTAGATTCTTTTTTTTGGGGGGGTCGATTATGTGGCTTGAACTCTCTCTCTTCTCTCTCTTTCTCTCTCTCTCTCTCACACACACACACTCTCTCTCTCTAACACACACACACCCTAAAATCCACTTTGTCTCATTTCCCTTCCCCAGATCTCAATATTTTATTTTAAAATGTTCTGGAATAATGTGACAATACAACAATGCTGATCACAAATTACTGATAAAGAAAAAAGTATTTCATGCTCCAAAGATGAAGTAAAAGATTATGAAAAAAGTATTCCAAATGCCAATCATGGTTGGATTTTTTTTTTTTTTTTACCAGTCATGGGGCCTGAACTCTGGGTCTGGGCACTGTCCCTCAGCTCTTCAGCCCAAGGCTAGAGCTCTACCACTAGAGCCACAGCGCCACTTCTGGCTTTTTCTGTTTATGTGGTGCTGAGGGATCGAATCCAGGGCTTCATGCATGCAAGGCAAGCACTCTACCACTGAGCCACCTTCCCAGCCCCCGGATTTTTTTTTTTTTAACCAGTCCTGGGGCTTGAACACTGACTGGGCTTGGGCACTGTCTCTGAGCTGTTTTTTGCTCAAGGCTAGTGCTCTTCCACTTGAGCCACAGTGCCACTCCTGGCTTTTCTGAGTAGTTTATTGAAGAGTCTGATGGACTTTGCTGCCCCAGCTTTGAACTGGGATCCTCAGATCTCAGCCTCCTGAGTAGCTAGGATTACAGGTATGAGCCACTGGCAACCCGACTTGGATCTAACTTTTTAAATATAATTTTATTGTTATATTAAGGTGTTGCATAGAGGGATTGCTTTTTCACAATTCAGGTAATGTGTACATTTCTCTTTTGGACAATGTCATTCCTTCCTTGTCCCTGCCCACATTTGCATAGTTCATTTTGATTTTTTTTTCACTTCTCCAAAAGCATAATGTATGTGATTTTTTTCATGAAAAATAAAAGACTAAAAAAAAGCCTGAAAATGGAATTTCATAGTTTCCAACTATGAAATAATAATGCATAATGTGACTCAGGGTGCAGCAGTTTTTTAAATACGTACAAGGTCTTTTGTTAGAGAAAGCTGAGATTGGAGGGGCAGTGGTTATTCCTCTAGGGTTTCTCAACTCAGCCGGTTGCACAAAATGTATTCAGTATAAATGTATTCAGGGCCTCCCTCCCAGAAAGCCTTCCCTAAATGTCAGCACCAGGCGGAACTGCTCCAGCGCCCTTGCAAGAGTCCTTGGGTTGAAATGCCCGACAGAGGGCGCGCTAGACAATGTGAACCTCCAGTCAGGCCAAACCCCGCCCCAGTCCCGCTCCCAGGCGGCCCAGGCCCCGCCTCCAGCCCACCCAGGCCCCGCCCCAGGCCCGCCCCGGCCTCCGCCCCACGTGGTGGGACCGTCACGTGACGGGGCGCCGGTCCAGCCTGTTGCTGATGCTGGGGAGCCGAATTCATCATGGAGCTGGTGCCGCGGGTCCCTTCTGCCCCTCGGTGGCCGCTGCTGCTGCCGCTGCTCCTGGGCCTCAGCGCAGGTAGGTCAAAGCAAAAGGCGCACGGCCGTCTGGCGCCCCCTCTTTCCACCGAGCAAAGTTTGTTAGTGGGTTTAGTGTGTTCTAACACAAATTGGGTTCCCCCAGTTCTTCCCTGGAGTAATTCCTGTCGTTCTTTACATCTATACCTATATCTATACATTCAGTTCAGAATGCTTTTCTGCCCTCTTCAGGTGAGGGTGACCTGGAACTTGCTTCTTCCCTTGCATAAGCAGTTGTGCAGAAATGTATGCTCTCAGGAAGCTGCTGATCAGTGGGATTTTTCACGTCTGAAAGCCAGGTCCCCACTGTGACTGACTCCCCAAGGAGGCTGTGTGGTCTTTCATTATGAGCTGAGATATGGATCAACGAGACCCCTCCAAATGTTTACCAGAAATGAGACAGTTCACTGACCATAAGGCCTTGTCTGCCCCCCACCCCTTGCTTGATTAGAACAGACAGAATTGCAGCAGCCTTGCCAGCCTGCTTTATAGGCAAAAGCAAATTTATGTTTAATAGGATGACTTGCAAATCAATTCTCATACTTCATTCAGGAAAAAGAAAAATGTCTTCTGGTCTGAAGCAAGAAATGAGCATTTGAACTGGCCACAAACTTGTCTTAGTGATACACGGCAGTTCCTGTTTTCTTTTTCTTTTTCTTCTTCTTCTTCTTCTTCTTCTTCTTCTTTTCTTCTTTCTTCTGGTAAATGGGGACCCTTCTGGCGCAACAGCTTCTGTCCAGGAAATGTTTGAAGATGCATTGCACCTTCCCCCAATTTTAACAGTGGTCACTGCCTTGTAGGAAGGGAGAAATGCTGTGGTGAGGAGGCCTGAGCCTTATCTGCCATTTTCTAGATCTTTCAGCACTATCTGTAGTATGCTAGCCATTCTGCCTCCTTGGGTACTGTCTGGCTTTCTTGATCTTCCTATTTTTTATTCACAAGACAACATTTTCGCGTCCTGTACTCTCATGTCTTCCTTCTTGGGACTAGTTTTCTTTGAGTTGCTTGAAGTGGTTTGAAAACTGAGAAAACCGGAAGAAGAAGGCAGATCTGGGGACTTTGGGATGGGGGAGGGGGAGGGGAAGGACTGGGTTTGCTGTGCTGGTAATTGAACCGGGGGCATTGTGCATGCTAGTCATGTGCCCTGGACTGAGCTTCAACCCCAGCCTGTTGCTGCTGTTTTAGATTATGTCTATCTGTGTTACTCAAGATGGTCTTGAACTCTTCAGTTTCTTTTTTCAGAGCTAAGTTTTGTTTCCTTATCCCTACAATATATTGGAGTAAGTAAATCACCTAAAATATAAACTCTCATCTATAGCTTAGCATGGCCCTTTCCACGAGGCTTGGAAGTTAACTGGATAGTGAACATTTTTCAGGAAAATGACACTGAGTTTCTGTTTAGGAGCTGCCATTGACTGGCCTACGGAGGAGGGCAAGGAAGCCTGGGATTATGTAACTGTCCGAAAAGATGCGCACATGTTTTGGTGGCTCTATTATTCCACCAACCCTTGCAAGAACTTCTCAGAACTGCCCCTGGTCATGTGGCTTCAGGTAAAATAACTTCATGCTTTGTGTGTTTTTTGTGTTTATTTGTGTGTGTGTGTGTGTGTGTGTTGGTAGGTGGGCAGGAACTCTGTGTGTCCCCCCCTTCCTGTATGGCTGGTGCTCTCCCACTTGAGCCATGACTCTAACACAGCTCCCTCACACCCCTGCCACCCTTTTTTGTTGTTATTGTTTATTAGATATGGAGTCTTAAAGACTTTATTGCCTAGATCTCAGCCTCCTGAGTAGCTGAGATTACAGTCATCTCACCAGTACCTGGCCTCTATGATCCGTTTTGTTGTGGTGGTTGTTGTTGGTGGTTGGTTGGGCTTTTTTTTTTTTTGGAGGGGGGGGGTCATCCTGGTCCTTGAACTCAAGGCTTGGCGCTATCCTTGAGCTTTTTCACTCAAGGCTAGCCCTTACCACTTGGGGCACAGCTCCACCTCCAGCTTTTTGCTGACTGGCTGAGAATTTCACAGGCTTTTTTTATTCAGGCTGGCTTCGAATCACAATCCTCAGATCTCAGCCAAATTTGGTCCAGCACTTGACTCTGGGGAATCCACCTCTTTCTGAGACAGACTGAAGCTAAATCAGGGCAAAAGGGGCCCCATTTTTCTGGTCTTTTGCCAGGATCCTTTTATATTGAGTACCACAGTTGTGGGAACCTGTACTGAACGCTGTGGTTGATATAGTAGTTTGGGGCTTTGTTTTTTGTTACTTTGTTTTGCTCACTGTGCCTCAAGTTTGAGCTCAGGGCCTCGAGCTTGCAAGACAAGCCCTCTACCATTTGAGCCATAGCCTCAGCCCTTTTGTTTCTATTTTATTTTCAAGATAGGGCCTTGCCAACTTTTCCTGGGCTCATCTTGAACTCTTGCTCATCCTGCCTTCACTTCCCTACTAGCTGGGATTCCAGGTAGGTATCACATAGACAGTGTTTTGAAAAGTTCTGAAACAAAGACTGAGATACCCTGCCCCTCACTATCTAGCTGTGTCCATATAACCTTTACCCTTCCTTCTTGCCCCCAGAAAAATTCACCTTTTGGAAGACCTGTTACCAGTCATTTGTATCTTAGTATGAACATGAAGCCTTACCTTTCTCCCTAAATGTGCATAGTCTTGAGTTGTGACTGATACTGGTAGCTAGGAACTGTTTGAAATATATTTAGGGCCGGTCAGAAGATCCTTCTGACATTCTTGTAAAATGTGACCTCACCCTGGAAGACTAACATCTAGGGAGGAGTTGAGGAGCATGGTCTTGCTTCAGCCTCTGGAAGATATGGGTACAGCCCAGTTGGGCCATTAACTAGGGCACCTTGGGACTCACCTGCTTGGGATGCAAATGGGGCTTTACCCACCCTACCCCACCCCACCAAAATACATCCCAGTGCCCAGGTTTTCCATCTCAGGTAGGTCACTGCAGACTTTGTGAGTGGAGATAAGCAGTTTTCAGAAAGGGCCTTTCTCTCTTTAGATCTTCACAGCTGCTGCTTCCAAGAGCAAGAGGTGAGGCTCAGCCTGAGGGTGCAGGGTAGCAAAGGCTTAGGTTGGTTGGGCAACTGGTCATGACAGTTCAGTGGGGTTTCCAAGAACCAGGGCATGGACAAGTCCAGGCCTGCTGAGTAGATCTGGATTCTCAGTGTCTTTTTGCCACTTTCAGACCTGGCAAAACACTTCTGCTCTGGGTGTTGCTTTTCTAATGTGTATGTGTGTGGGGGGGGGGGGGGGGGGATATTTGGTTGGATCTTAAACGTTTCATTAATCATTTCTTTTACACCTAGCTGAAAGTTTACATATCTTGCCAGGGTGGGGCAGGGTGCTGAGTCCTGTGCACGTGGTCTCCTCTTTGTCCCTGGCCACCACAGAATACTTTTCTAGACTTTCTGCAAAAGAATTGGAAAAGCATTGAATTTCAGAAGTTGCAAGCTATCCTTTGGTTAGACTTCTGAGTTGTTTTAACGGAATTAGTTGCAAGCATTTGAAAATCAGGACATTTCCTTTCTCCTTCCAAAGGTTAAGAGAATCTAGCAACTGTAGAGGTCTAACTTTACTGTCCCCAAAGCTGATTGGTGGGCTGGGAAGGTGGCTCAGTGGTAGTGCTTGCCTCGCATGCACGAGGCCCTGCGTTAGATTGCTCAGCACCACATAAACAGAAAAAGCTGGAAGTGGCTCTGTGGCT